ACCCTGCCTGCGCTAGCGAGATATCAGAATCTTGGGTATATGGATCGTGGCGTGGCTGAAAGATGCGTTTAGATGATCTTCCAGTTGACGCCGTGGTAGCGGGTGGTCTCAGACAGACCGAGCTCAGACCAGACAGAGCGGGAGAGATCGATGTCGTACTTGTTGACACAGCCAGGGCACATGTCCATGATCTTGGCTGTGGCAGTCTTGCCTTGGTACTCAATCTCGATTTCCTTTCCGCACCATGGGTTGGAAGACTCGCCAGTCATGACGTCGTGGATGCTTCCGCCCATTGCGTTCCAGGCACCGATGCTGATGGCAACGACCTTGGAATCATCGGTCTGGAGCTTACCGCAAGCACCAAGGTCGCCTACGTTCATGTCGTAAACGGTGATCTCGACATCGTCGAAAGAGGCACCAGAAGTTACGCCACCACTGGAAGAGCCAGAGCCGTAGCTAGGCGCAGCGCTTGAGGGAGCAGGAGCAGGAGCTTGAGAGTAGACAGGCTCAGGGGCTGCGGTAGTGGTTGGCTCAGGCGCAGGTGGAGGCGCGACGTAAGAGGAGACTGGGGCAGGAGCAGGAGTGGTGGGAGCAGGAGGAGTGTAAACGGAAGTAGGGGTCTCCACGGGAGGAGTGTAGACGCTGGAGGGCTTCTCGGGAACAACTGGAGTGTAGGCTGGGGGAGCGGCCTTGGAGGAGGTGGGGGCGGCCTTGGTAGGAGCAGCCTGGGGAGTGACCACAGCAGAAGACGAGGGTACGACTACAGTGCTGGTGGTGGAAGGCTTGCTGGGCTGCTCGTAGAATTCGCCAGCGCTGGTGGTAGTGGGCTGAGCGGTCGTCTCGTCGTCCCAGACGGTGGTGTAGACTACGACGGTCTCAGTGACGACCTCGGTCTTGTAGACAAGGGCGCGTCTGTCGAAAGGCGCAGCCACGGCGTAGGAGCCGAAAAGGATAGAGGCGAGGACAGCGGAAGTCTTCATTTTGGCGGTTGGGAGTGTTGGATAGCTGAAGGAATGGTGCTATGGATGTTTGTTTGGGATTTGCAGGAGTGACAGAACCGACTAGCAGTTCGAATGAGTGGTATTGTGAGTTGTCGCGTTGACAATGTATTGTGTCAGGAATGACAGTGTTGAAGACAGAATGTCTTTAGGGAGTGAATGAATGAACAAGAAGACCTCGAGCCTGTAGAATGAGTGTTACAGGAGGGAGGGAGCAGGTTGAAATATAGAAAGAGTGTGTGGGTGATGGTGTGGGTTAGTGAGTGAAGGAAAGGTGGGCAGAGTGGATTCCCACGAGCTTTTACGCTAGGGTCGGCACTAGGCCGGCCCCTGGCAACGTGCCTGGTGCCATCGGTTGTGCATCGCATCCTCCGCTCACCACGACGCATCTAGCCTGCTTCTGTCATCGGGGGGCCTGCCACTCCGGGCCGGCTGCTGGTGGAACGGCGTGCCATGGCGGCCTCAACAACACCGCAGACAAGCTCGAGTCGTCGCCCCACTGTCACGCTCATTCGCCCATGGCCGTCGCTCGATTGAAATTGTCGGCGCTCATCTCCACCGCAACGAACTCCAGACTTCCTTTTCCTTGTGTTCATGTGCATGCGCTTGCCAAGGGCCCTCCCACCTCTATCGATTGCCTTCTTTTTCCTTACACTGACAGTGCGCTGGTTTCCAGCTAAATATGGCCAAGCTCAAAATATCGCAAGCTGACGGGTTTCATGCTTCCGCAAGTGGCATGGCGACGGACACAGTCAGCCAATCACAACGCCGTGCCTGACGATCACTGCATCGCGGAGCTCTTCGCGCCCTCTTCCGCCAGGGGCATGGCTGGAGCTGAAGCCGGTAAACGAAACATCCCAGGCACAGCGTGTCTGCGCCTCGTTCGGGCACATGTCATCATCGCAGATGAGGCACCGACCGCTTTGACTGAACCTGTCTTGGGGAAATGCTACACACGTGTATCGCAAGGAGTCGCGCCATGTCTCCCTGGACTGACAGCAGATGGGCTAGAACGCAGAAGCGGTATGGCGACGACGGCGCGTGGCTATGTGGACACGCTCTCGTTATTCAGACTTTGCCTCTCCGTACTCACCATTGGCTGCGTACGCTCCACTGCCTGCCAGCCAGCTCCAACTTGCTGTGCGCCGATTCGCAACGTGGGACCGGTTGGCGAGCCGTCACAGCGTCAAGGTGACATATCCTCCTGCGGTTCTTCTGCCGGACCGTCTCAACGAAAGCTGTCGTTCGCTCGCTTTGTTCTGCACGCTGCCAACTCCACAGCTTCTGGACTTTGTGATGATGGCATTCACAAGCCGTCAGCATGCGCTGGAAATGAATTGTGGGGCTGCTGCACCTTCGGCGTTGTCCTACTGGGCGGCACTGGTTCCGCGCGGCAGCCATGTGCGAGAATTTGCGCCCTACCTTATCCACTTATCGATTGCGATACCTATCCATCTCCACACGCATCGCATCGCGGCCTATCACATGTGTGTGGTGAGTAACTCAGTCTCGCTCTTGGGTAGCAAAAGAGTTTTCATCGTTCGCTTCTCGGCAGCATGATGCATGCTCATCGAACGACTTTGACGTTCACCCGTCCTGCCCGACCGCGCGTCCTCACGGAAGGCCTAGGTCGTTTCTTGTGTGCAATATGAGAACCTTGATTTCGTCACCACTAAACGACTGCTCTTCAAGTTCACCTGGAGAGGTATTCCGGTTTGACGGGGAAAGCCGCAGAACAGCAGTTGGCGCTACGGCACTTCTGATGCACTGCTCGTTCAGTTCCTATGGTTCGCCAGGTTTGGCTTGAGCAAGTCTACCAAACATGGTGGATCGTCCAGGACCGAGGATTACCGCATTGTTCTAGATCGCAGGATTCTTCGCTTGTCTGTGCCAACAGACCTGTCTCGGCATTTGTGACTAGAAGTTCGGAAGAAGGCTCATGCGTGCGTAGACCTCTGTGCGTATCCGATGTCAGCTTTGCTTATGGTACGCTAGAAGACGTCGAGATGCTTTTGCCGTCCAGCCTGCAAGACATCGTCATCGTTCAAAGGCCGCGGCAAGTTTCTCGTCAATAATGTGCGTACCATGAACATGTGTGTGAAGGATGAAATCCCCGGCAACAGATCATACCGTTGCCCCGGCCGATCCTGGTCCGATCGACTTTTCAACAGGTGATCTTCGTTGCTTGTATGCACGCGATCTCGATCAACTTTGCATTCTCCCACACATACATCGGACTACTCGGATGGACGATGTATGCTAACAGACTACGCTAGCTGAGGTGTGGTTGTGCGACATTAGCATCTGGACAACTAGCCGAGAAAACTGCTACAGCAAGGTTACCGATGATGAGAAGAGACTGTATGCGCTGAGTAGCGGCAGAGATCTGTGTGGTGTGCAAGCGTGGGAAACGGAAGATGCACCGATGATGAATACGCCATCGGCTGGTAGCTGACTTTGAAATGTGTATTGAGCACAGTACGTAAGAGATTTCGATTGTTATCGCAGTTGATTGGCACATGTGGGTCTTTGTCGCGGCTTTAATCACGACTTCGTCTTCCCAGACACGAGTATCGCATTTTCATTCAATTGTATCTTGCAAGGTGGCTCTGTGTCCATGGCTTTCTGTAGTGTCTTGCTGGTCTTCGTACTGCATCAATTTCGAGTGCTGGCCCCAAAACCACCGCCTCCAATGACCATACAAACAAATAATCTTTCTCTTTCTGCTGGCCACAAGACTATTGGCAATAAATATGTAAGAAGTTGACGCAGGAGCCAAGGCGTTCAGCTTCATGTCACACGAAGTCGTACCGGAAGTTGGTACATCTCCTGTCTCTTCCGAGTGTTAGCTCATGGTCACACAATATCAAGTCAGCTCGCGTGAATGTGCCATCATTACCAAGCAATTGTACCTAGTGATCCGTGCGGTTCGGTTGGTTTGCTTTCCTATGAGTGTGAAGCTCAAGGGTTGCCTACTAGATAGTACAAGCCCTCACAGCTGAAACCGAAAACAGCATTATCAAAACACTCATCGCTCGTCGCCTCATTTCTGTTTGCAAAACGTCTCATCAAGAAACTCTTTCCTAGCACCCATTCTTCACCAGGCTCTGCAGATTCCGAAGGCCTCAAATGATCGTCGTGGAACTTGACCTCATACACCTCTCCCTCGTCCTCCTTCTCCCCAGCTACCCTGCTCGCCTCTATGATTGGTAGTCCAGACTGATGAACAGCATTCTGATTGTACAAGCCCATAACAAATATCGGCGTGCAAACGAGTTTCTGCGTACCTAGAAATCTGTCCACATCTGTTTGTAGCCAAAAGACGTTCTTCTCGTCTCGAACACAAGTGTCCATGTCGAGAGGTAACTGTTCGTCTACTGCATGGTCTCCTCGCAAAAGGTTTCGTAGGAAAAGCATGCCTAAGCTCTCTGCGACGGCGACTACAAATAGCTTGGGTGCATGCTTATAGACTCGATAGGTGAAAAACGAGCGGCTGTGGTCAGGGAAGTATATCGCTTTCAGATCTGGATCGCGATGTACAACTTCTCTGATATTCTCGTGCGTGGCAAGAGCGTTTATGGCGGCTATGGGAAGGAAGGAGTTCTCTTCGCCGAAGATGGTGCACCTTATGGTATTCTGCTGTATGAAGTGCCGGATGAGGATGTATTGAGAGGTATCAGGTATGGTTGTAGGTATGATCATTGACGATGACATTGCTTTCTTGAAGTTAACAGATGAGAGCTTGAGCGACTAGGCCAGTGCTGTCAAAAGCGATTTTAACTTGTTGATGAAGATGCCAGGCGATGATAACTCACGACGATTAGTTCATAAAAAACTCATGCTTCAAGCTGTCGTTGAGTTTGCTTGCTCGTACAATGACAAGCATATCGTATTTCTTGTGCTTGTTTTAAAGTAATGCGTATGCGGTTATACATGTGCTACTGTTAATTGAAAACTTATGTACGAAGACATCCTGGTTATGTCTTGTCTTCCGCCTTGTTGTTACAAAACCCATAATCCATCTTCCATCTCGTTTGTCTTGCCCTCGCCCTCCTCTTCCTGCTTGTCGTCATAATCTTCATCGACATCTCGGTCCGGAAATCCGCGGAAGAAATACCATCTCCCCTCACATGTAACGCCCCAATCGAACCGCGACTTCTCCGCATTTGCATGTTTTTCACTTCCGAAATCCTCCATTTCCCATACGGCCGACGGTTCCTCTACCTCGTTTCTGAGATGTTCTTGGGGGAATCCCACATCATACACATCAGGCTCGCGGACGTCATGCTGAACCTCCAACGGGAAGCAAGACAGCCACGGAACCACTTGATCAAATGTTCCTGTATCAAGTACCGGCGCACAAACCAGCGCTTGGTTGTTGACAAGCTTGAACATGGCCATACGGTGTGGGCCCCTAGGAATTATGACGTATTTCTTCCTTTCCATAGGGAGATCATTGTCGTCCACATGAGCCAAGAGTGCAGACAAAAACTCCATACTGAGTCCTAGCTTGGTGGTGAGGAGGAAGAGTTTCTTACCCCTTTGTTCGATGATATCCGCGAGCTCGAGGGCGTCATGAACATGAAATAGCACGTTTTTTGGATACTCAGTCTTCTTTATGAATGCGGTGACGTCTTGACGGTTTGCGAGAGCGTTAATAGTGCTGCGCCGAAGATATGATATCTTTGCACCTTCGAATGTGAGGTTGAAGGTGCGATCGTCGATAGCTTTGATATACTTGGCGTATTCTTGCTCATGCGCATGTGTGACCAATGGTTGGGCCTCTTCAGATAACATTTCGAAGTCCATGCTTCAGGTGTGCGGATGAAAGATGATTGGATTGTCTTAGATCAGTGACTGTCTTTTATACTTGGTTTGGTGCTTTGTTGTTTGGTGTGATGCTGTGCCCACGTGTATGTCTTGATCACGAAGTAGAGCAGGGTGACAGGATCTTAAATCGTCGTGCCAATGGTGTAGTTGGTCCTAGAAGTCCATCATGCACACATTCCCTCTTTCTTCATACGCACAACGAAATATTGCCGGGCATGAATGCCAACGAGGAGAGGCGTGTACGACGAGCGGTCGGGATCGGAGATCATATCCATGTCCAGCGGTGATGTATTTTCGGGCTGTACACACAGGACTGGTTGTTTGTGAGATGTTTTGGTGACTGCCAAAGCACCCCCGGTATTAACTCAGTGCATCTGCCCCCCCCCCCCTTTATGTGAATTTTCAAACATCCACTTTTCCTCTTTTGATCAAAGTGCTCTGCCGACCTGTTCTTTCATCATAGCGGTACCGGAGTTACATATACGATGGGAAAGAATACACGTCATGGAATTGTTGCAAAACTGCTCTTTCGATTTACCCATTTTCTGGATCCGAAAGCCATGTTCTCAAGTGTATCCATGGAAAGCTCAGCAAGACTCATAACAATAGATCACCGCGCTCATCCCATCGCACGCGTTGTATGCGAGCAATATCACTTGACGCACCCCGCGGGAATGGTATTGCGAAGCATGATGCATAGACCCGAGGTTTCAGGCTGGTCTTAGAAGGTGCATGACGTCAACACCGCTAAACTACCTACCTAGATAGGTAGTCCGCCATTCTACCTAGGTACGCGCGTGACCACGGAGGCAAAACCGAGACACTTTTCATTTGGAATTTCAAAGGTGTACATAAGCTTTCGGGGTTAATTCATACGAATGCTGCATCACTCAGATCATTGCAGATATTTGGTAAGATATGATGGATCGTAATTAGTTTTACTAGTTATTACACCCAAGGACTTGGTGACCTTAATGCCATGAAGTTAAGCCTCGCTCTCAAACGTCATGATTCACTAAGAAGTGTCTGTTCCTCAACTGGAGCTCAGCCTGCGCTGTAACAGCTGCTGGCATGCTCAACAGTCAAGCGTGATTTACTTGCTGACCATCAACGGGCATCCAGCATCCTTGAAGATGGGGTTCAACTTTCCAGCGGAGAAGTCGATCAACGCATCTGTAAGATCGGTAACGCTGCTGACGGTGCTGGGAATGAGGTTGACAGCCAGCTGGTAAAGCAGGCAAGTAAGCTGAGCAGCGGTAGCATCGCTGGGCAGCTTTCCGTCGACGATGATATCGAATGGAGTAGAGAGAGCGTCGAAGTTGCCCTTGCCAACGTTGCCACCGAATAGCTTGGGGTACTTGACGTACTGGGCAAGAATCTCGTTGGTAACATCCATGTTCTTGTAGGGCTCGACACGCGAGAACCAGTTCTCGGGGATGCGCTCGGGGACGTGACGCCAGCCACCTGGGGCAGAAGAGTCCTCAACGGCACCGAAGAAGGACTTCATGGTTGCGAGATCTGGGACGCCCTTGTCGCCGTAGCTGGGGAAGAGCTCGTAAAGGAAGGAGGCAGCTCCGTAAAGGAGAAGCGAGAGGGGACCGAAGTAGAAGTTGGGGTTCTCTGCGACAGAGTCGTCGTAACGGTTGCTGCGGTACTTGGAGAGGGCCTCGCGATCGAACTTTCCACCGGAAGTGGTGTCGGCAACCGCCTTCATCTGCGCGAACAAAGTGCCGTTGAAGTTGTAGTTGTCTCCGTTGGCAAGGAAGAAGTCGTTGCGGGTGAGCGACGAATCAGCCTCGAACTTGTTGTGGCCGTTGAGACCGGGCTGGCTGCCCAGAAGAGGGAGTGTGGCAGTGCGAGACGTAGCGTCACATCCGATACTGAGACGTCCGGAGAGGACATCACCACCAGCCTCAATACCGAGGACAGCGAGAAGGACGGCAAGGTCGTAGCCTACGTTGTAGACGTTCTGCTGCGCGTCTACCAACTCCTGGAAGTTGGTAATACCATCGTGAGAAAGGAAGTTGTGCTGTCTTCAGTTAGCAAATGTCTGTCAATCTATTCAATGAATAGAACGTACGTTGGCTGCGGCGTTCAGTCCTGGGCAGGGTCCACGGATATCGTTGGAACCAGGGGGGGTGTAGGCGTGAGCCGTGTCACCATCTGCTGGCACCTTGATACCACCCTTCTGGCTACCGGGAACACCGTTCTTGGCTCCAGAGTAGGTGTAAGGAGCAACGTAAGGAGCAGCGCCCTTGTGAACAGGATTGAAAGGGCAGTTGGCCTGGCGTTTTACTACGCCGTTGCTCGCGAACAACCTGGAGTTGACACCAGGCTGGCCAGCGACCCAGCCGTAGCTCATGGCACCAGAGGCCTGGAGGAGGAGAAGAGAAAGAGTATGCATGGTGAATAGTAATCCCGAAGTGTACTGCTGTGATTTACTCGAGATGACCTGAGAGGATGCTCATCTTTCTGTCGTCTGAGTCTTCTACTTATAATCTTTTGCCATCATCTCCTATCCAACTTCTGTTCCTAGATCGAGAGACGTAGATCGGGACCGAGGCAACTTCCTTGCACGCTGTCAAAACCCTACATCTCCGCCAGCAAGTCTTCGATATCCGCGCACCTCGATTGGCTGAGACATTGCTTCCACCCCTGACTTCGCACTGTGTAGTCGATGATCGACATACCCCGGAGTCGATCGGCGGCAGTGTTCTGAGGTCTAGGCGGGGCAAGATAGGTAGTTAGGAGCCATGTCCGAAAGCGAGTTCGCATCCGCTATGGGACTATTGATGCGTACCTGCTTGGTAGCTCTTCATATGGCAGTGGCGTTGCAGCTGGACGGAAGGTTTACGCTCCGCACGGACTAGTTCACGTCTCTTGCCCGAATCAGCTTGGCGTGTCGATCATTTTCCCAAAGAAGTTGTTTGCGCTCACAAGGTCCCATGCGGATGGATTGCGGGGAAAGCAAGTATCCAATGACGCATGGCCTATTTCCGCCAGACTGTGGTCATGTTGCATACGCTCAAGAAAAGATCGACAAGAACTACTATGATCGAAATAATACCGAGGCAGCTGTCTCAATGCCGCAAGATCTATAGGCTGATGTAGAAGTTGCAAAGACGTAATTGACGTGGGAACTGGCGGTCATTGCCATATCAGAGACTACGTTGGCTCAACGTCTCTTGTTGTGTGCGTCGGTATGTGGAGGTTGCCGGCAGGTGCGAGACCAGTCGCCGAAGCCACGTGTGATGATGCTCTGAGGCCCAAGATCTGACCAAGGGGTGTTCAGACCTGGTTCGAGGATTGAGTGGTAGAACAATAGCCAGAAACCTGGTAAGATCAGTTGTGCGGCGAAAGACACCGATACATTCCTTTTTTGGAATGCCTGCTCCCGCAGTGTTCATAAATCTCCGAACAGTAATATCGATCAACTCACAGGCTGCAATTTCCCTTAACCCAATGCTGTGGACTTGATCCCGGATACAAGAATTTCCAAGCCTTTCGAACAGATCACCAAACTCTCATCACGGTCTATTCCGTCTGTTGCGCGCTTGAAATGACGACCTGTCTTAGAACTTGAAGCCTGCCGAGGCAAGTTCCAGCAGTTTGCGAGAATTGCCCCCACGTTGGAGAGAGCGTGACGAAGAGCGTATCAAATCATGCTGAACAGTTGCGTAGGTCGACGCCGTCAGAAGCCGGCTCAAAGGAATGGACGAGTGCAGCATGGGCTACAAGATCATGGTGTCACACTACAACGCGTGAGCCTCGAGATCTCGATGGAGTTTTGCTTGATGGAGCATTCTACTTGCTCGGCGTGCAAGTCCGTCGTCATACTCAGTCCACTTTACGATTTTGAGTAGAATGAGCGATCCAGAGTATGAAAAGTCATGCACAGCCCTGCAACGAACATGTAGAGAATACTACAGCTCTACCAGGGTATCCATGAGGGACCACAGGCCATGACGGGAACGCGGAATTGCACCGTGCAGACTGCCAGAATTTCTCCCTTCCCAGTAAAGCATAATCTGACTCGCGTCCAGCCTGACGCTACGTATAACGGCAAACCTGGGGCTGACACCACGTGGGCGAAGATCCCTGAACGAGACATCATCCCAGAACCCCAGAAGACACTGAGTCAAGCAAAGGGCATGCATAAATCTTGCGTTGTCTCTTGATGCCTGTCCCGCATACCTATGATACCATGCACGACGTCGATTCCGAGCTCTTCATAAGATCATGGCGAGACTCCCGGTATGACCCCTGGTCTTCGATGTAACTGCCATGCTATTAGTCCAGGCTGAGTATCGCTTGAGTAAGAATTGCACACTTACCTCTAGCCCCTCTCAACAACGGAGAAAGCATATGCACCTTCCAGACTTGGGATGGAAGGCCTAGGATAGCTGGAGGACGAGCAGTAGTATGTCGAAAAAACTGCGTCGGGCTTCACTGATTAGCTAGGCGGCCTTTTCGACAGGCAGCTCACTGTCGCAGTAGCAGCACTGGAAAACCAAGCGACAGCATGGAGCTTCCAGGCCGTATCACACGTGAGCTCTGTCTGAGCAAGGATAGCTTGATCATGGCAGGCAAAACAATTCAACATAACCGAAGCCGTCCACTATAACCATCCTCACCGACCAAAGGAACGCCAAAAAGAAAAGCGACAGTACTCTCCAGCGGGGAATTGAACCCCGGTCTCCCGCGAGTTGCCAATGCTGGTGACAAGCGGAAATACTGACCACTATACTACTGAAGAAGAGTTGGTATCGCTGATACCAGTGATAGCAAACCTCAAAATTGAAACACATAATACCACAGACAATCAAACCCACTCAAGATCATTTGTAAAGATAATCGACCATGCTCTTGGAAGATGTTGTAGTAAAGCAGCGGAATGTGGGTATCAGTGGAGACAGAAGAAACTAGCGAGCGGTGAGAGCAGCAAGCCTCGGCAAAAAGATAGATAGCAACGACAGAAC